GGCCCTTCCCAGGATGACTGTGTCCTTCCAAGAAGAGGACAATTTGGGCAAAGACAGACACAGCGGGAGGACACCACGTGATGACCAGGCAGACATGCCGCCGCCTCCAGAAGCTGGAAGAGGCGAGGCAGGATTCCCCTACGTGTTCAGGGGGAGCAGGGCCCTCCGAACCGTGGCCTTCTAGCCTTCGCCCTGTGAGACAGCACATTTCTGTTGTTGACGAAAAATATGCAGCCTTAGAGAAAACTTATAATAAGAGTTTATTTGAGCCAAACTGTCGACAATTTCCGGGAAGCAAAATCTCAACCGATTGAGAAAATGCTCCGCACAATGGGGTCCGGTGACCCCGCCCCCTCATATGCTTTGCACCCTCCCAAGGGTCTCGCCACCCTCAGCTTTGTCCTGGAAACCTGGGAGAAAAGCTTGTGCCCGGCCTTTTCAACCCCCCTGGCCCAGAGGCCCCTGGTGTGGGCTGGGGGCCAGCTGCTGTGTGACTGTGGCCCCAGCAGTCACCAAACAGTAATTTAGTCCTGTTTGCCAAATAAACACCCAGCCTAAGAGAAAGTTTATAAGAGCTTATTAGAGCAATACTGACAATTGCCGCGAAGCAAAATCCCAAAGGACTGAGAAAATGCTCCCCAAAATGTCGGTTTGCACCCCATGTTATCTGTAGAATGAAAGGAGGAAGTTACATGAAATCCACTGGTGATAGATGAAGGGGGTGGGAGAGAGCAAAGCGGGGAACTCTCTGGGATTGGAGAGGTGGGTGCAGGGTAGTCAATAGTTCACTTTTTACAGCACACGGAGATGGTCATCAGGGGACCACAATGAGGGATTCTATAGTTTCCTGCTCTGGTCCAGGGAAAGGGATTACTGACACTCCAAAGCCATGTTGTCCTAGATGCAAAAAGACTAGAGACAGGCTCACTGAAGGGAGACATTGACCTTGTCCAGGAAGTGGCTTCCTGCTAAAGCAGGGCCCAGCTGGGCTCCCTGTACTCAGAATGCCTTGGGGTGCCCCGCCCCCATCCTAGCGGGTTTCCTTCTTTGGTATGAGCTCAGAATGCCTCCACCTGGTCTGGTTTCACTCTTGTTTGGCTTGTAGTTAAACAGTAAACCCCAGCCCTGCCGCCTGAGCCCAGAATTCCTCCGGGACGCCCCACCCTGTTCCGGTTCTTTTCCCCAGAGAATCACCTTGTAGATACTGGCTAATTCCAAACTGTATGGCATAGCATTTTCCCAGGTTACTCCCACACTGTTCCCCCCCACCCCTCCCCGGACAGACCGCTGGCACCACAACAGATAGGATGACAGAGGGGGCATCGGGAGAGAACAGACCTCCTGTGTGTCATGCAGCCCCTGAGAGAGGCCCTGATTTCCCCTTAAATAGCCCTGATTGTCTGGGGATGTGAGGCAGTTTTTGGAGGTGTTAGCCCACTGCCTTCTGGGACCACCAGTGCTCTGATAATCACAGCGGCAGGAGCCCCACATTCGTTTGGCTTCCCGTTATCCTGCCAAGGCCCACCTTAGTTAGGAGTTTTTACATTCACACCACCCTATGGGGTTGTTTTCAGTCTCCTGAGCTTGTCCGGGTTAACATGTGGCCTCCTCTCTGTCCACAGCTTCTATATTGATCAGGGCCCTGTGCTCCCTTTGTGGGAGTGAGGTGGGGGTGGGCGAGGTTTTGCGAGGGAGAGATCTGAAACTCAGGGCCAAAGTGAAAGAGGGTTTCCTGTAGGGGGTGGGGTGAAAAGCAGCGGTGGCTTTGGGGACACAGCGGCCGCCTCCTGATGCCTTATGGGGGCCAGGCCTGATTGGGTCAGAGAGGCTCACAGCGCGCTGCCCAGGGTCCTCTTGCGAGGCTGGTCAGCCAGGGTCCAACAATGTGATGGGAGAGCCCTCAGCGCTGGGTCCCCCTGTGCCCCTGTTGGTGGGGCCAGGAAGCTCCCCTAGTCCTGCATGGGAAGACAGGAGGGCGGGGCCTGTGGGCTGGGTGACCTCAGAGTCCCAGTGCAGCCTGCCAGTGACTTTGTGGCAGCAGGCAGCTCCAGCAGTTGAGTACCCAGTGCCCGCGGTGTCCCCAGGCCTGCCAGCAACCTCAGGGATGGCCCAGATGGTGAAGACTCACACCGTGAAGACTCACACCGTGGAGGATGATACCATGGACAACGATTATTCATCCACTCTGATGACACAGGACTGGGAGAGTGAAGACCTGCAGCTAGGAAGTACGCAAAGGTCCAGCATACGTACTAGGCCCAGAAGACGTACGAGGCAACACCAGCCACCTGGCACCGTGATGCAGCCTAGCGCCCTGCAAGACTTCTCTGGGTATGTCACCTGCATCAGTAACCTGGCTGTGAGTGTTCCCTCCGTCAGTAACCTGGTACTTTGTGACCTCCGGCGCTGTGCGCGCGGCGAGGGTTACATGAGAAAGGTGGAGTCCTAGCAGGATACCTGCGCAGGTCAGCTCACCTGGCCTTGCCCTGTGGCAGGAGGGTGTGGGTGCTAGTTTACAGATGATCAGGAAGAGATGGTAACAATTTAAGAAAGGAGGTTAGCCCTGGTGGGGGCTGGTAGCTCCTTTAGCCCTTAAAACAGAAACGGGGACACTTGGACATGTACAAAGGGACCGGCCAGGTAGGGAGTAGGTAGGGAGCCCTCAGGGGGGCCTGTGGCCGGGAGGGCGGCAGCTGCTCAGCTCTGTCTCAGTCGCTGCCAGAAGGCAGCCCAGTGTGCCTTGCTTTTCTGATTTTTCAAGACATGGGAATCNCGGCACAGCCACTCCCCATCACCAAGCCGGGGAGCCCGGCCGGGCCCCAGAAGCCGACCTTCGGATGAGGAGTTACCGGGAGATGAAGGGGGGGGTCCCCAGGACCTCTGCAGGGACCTGGGCTCCACGAGCAGCTGGGAGGAGAGTCCTGGGCGGGGACAGAAGCACTTGGCTGGCAGGACAGTTGGTTCCCATGTCCTCGCCAGGGCTTGTAAGCAAAGCCCCAGGTGGGGTGTGAGGGCCTGGACTCAGGCCCAGTGGACCCAGCGCTGCTTCCAGACCTCCAGCTTCCTGTGGGCAAGGGGACATCCGCAGGGAAGCAGCCTGAGACTGCCTGGCCTCCTATTCCAAGGGTTTTAGGAGCTCTGTGCCAGGAACGAGGGCAGGGACTAATAGGCAGTATTTGTATTACTTCACACCTGGAACACCAGGGCTCGACCAGCACCCCCAAACTCATTCCAAAAGGGGGGGGCAGGGACTTGTCCAAACTGGCACTTCAAGGTGAGAACACAGCGTGAGGCAGAACAGAAGGGGCGTGGGGAGACTGGGCCTGTCTGGGGTGATGACCTGCCCCCCCAGCCCCCGCCCAGGGCTGGGCTGCCTGTGACGACCTGCTCCACTGTGACGCCTCCAGCCCATCTCTCTGTCACCAAGTGCCTCTGCTTCGACGCCTGCTCTCCGGGACCAGCTCCAGCTCAGGCTCTGGGGCAAGATTCTCTGCAAGTGGCTGGCTTGGTCCAAGGCTGAAAAGGCTCCTCTGCTTCCTGGTCAGGGGTGGGGACCCCAGGAGGCTTGGTTGGGAGAGAAAGGAAGGCATTTGCGCATTTCAAGAATGTTGATAATTTGTTAAGTGCATACGGGGACTTGCTGTGGGCAGCTGGGGTCACGTGAAGCAGGGCTGTGCTGACAGAGTGGGCACGCCAGGCGACTGGCCCCAACCCCGACCCTCCCTCCAGCTTGGGAGCCGGGCAGGAGAACAGGACCCGTTCTCTGCAAAGCCTGCTCCTTGGAGTCAGGACATCTGGCCGGGCCCCTAAGTGATGCTGCATGTGCTGAAACGTCCCCTTGTTTTTGCCCAGAAATGTCTGGCTCTCTGCCAAACCCCCGCCTCTGCCTCCCTGCCTGCCCGGCTTTCTGTTGTCAGCATTGGAACATTCCAGCGTTTAGAGCCGGCTCCTGGGGGCGGTGAGGGGGCCAGCAGGAGACAGGCCCTGGGAGGCACTCAGGACAGTGGCCTGGCCCCACTTCTGCTCTCGCACTGACCCTGACCCAGGAGTGTCAGGGGCGCGCCTGTCCTGGGCCTGGGTTCCCAACTAGGTGACGGGATGGGGAGGGGCCCCGTGGGGCTCCCTTGGATTTACACTCTCCTTTCCGGGGTGTGGCCTCCCTGTTCGCAGTCTCTAGTCCTCCCTTCTAGACTGACCCAGTAGCCAGTCTGGGGCTTTGAGATGGGGCGTCTGGGAGGGGAAAGGAGGCAGGCTGAGAGGGGCTTTGGGGTGTCTGTGTGTGTGTGTGTGTGTGTGTACGCGTACCGGCTCTCTCTGCTCGGGTCTCCACTCTGCAGGGTCAGCATAGCATGGTCCATGCCCCCACCCCCCAACCCCCACTCCCCAACCCCCCGTGGCCTCACTTGAACTGCTTCCTCTGTGGAAGCTCCTCCAGTGCCTCAGAGCACGGCAGACTCCCTCAGCTGGGGTCTGGGTTGCCTGGAAGGGTTGACGAGGTGGGGACAGGCAGGGGAAGGTCAGGAGACACCCCAGTGTCTTGTTTGAAGGTCTGGGTGCAGACGCCAATGGAGGACAGAGAAGCAGGCTCGGCAAGGCCAATGGGGTTAGGTTTGGACACAACACCTGTGAGGTCCCTGGGACCTCAGCATCTGGCCAACGTCCCACAGGAGCTAGGGGGACGCCAGAGGGCCACCTTGGAAGAGAAGCATCTGTGGGATGGTCAGTGGCACAGGGCCCCGGGCTGTGAGCTGTGGGACCACAGATGGACGATGGAGGAGAGGCTCTCTGCCACTGGGCAGCTCAGACGTGAAGGCCAGCTTCGATGGGCAGTGGCCCACTCAGGTACCTCGTGGGAGATGGAGGGCGGGGGAGCTGGAGCAGGGGCTGCAGGTGCCCTGGGAGCACAGCTGTGCCACCCTGGGGCAAACCAGGAAGGCTGCAGAGTGGAGATGGCAGCTGCACTGGGGTCCTAGGTGGAGCCAAAGTCCACGGGCAGAGTCAGCAAGCAGCCCAGAAGCCCAGAGTCCGGCTCTGCTGGGCTGAGTGAGGCTGGCCCCTCTCCTCTGGCCCCTGGCCCCGCACCCCGTTCTGATCCTCTGGGCACAGGTCCCACAAAGTCTGCTCAGGGCCCAGGCAGAGCACAGGTGTGGAGGGCATCGCTCCCGCACAGGTAGAGCCTGGGGCAGAGACAGGCAGGGACCCAGCCAGCAAGCCTCGGGCAGCCCAGGGCCTGCTGACGCCAGGTGGAAAGTCCCGGGCTCAGAGGCGGCCTCTGCCTGCCCACAGCCCCAGGAAGGTCACTTCCTGCAGGCGGGGTCAGAGGCAGGCCAGCAGGAGGGGCTGCCTGGGTTTCGGAGTGTGGCCCCAGAGACCCGGATCCTGGCTGAGAATGGGGTCAGCTGTGCAGTCACTCCCTCCGTGCCTGGTGGCCGAGCCCAGGGGTGGCCCTGACTTCCGTTGCAGCCTCTTTGTGACTGAGTCCCAGAGAACAGGCCAGGATGGCAGAAACCAACTGACGCCAACCTGGACGATGTCCTCAGGGAAGCCCCTGGAACCTGCATGCAGGTCTGACGTCCTCTCTCCAGACAGCTCCGCCTAGGTGGGGTGGGTGGGTGCTTCCTCCCTCTGCCTGAGGGGGTAGCAGTCAGTGCCTGGGGGGCGTGGCTGGTCCCCAACCCTCCAGGGCCCCGGCTGTCATCCATCATCATTGCCTAGAGGCTCCAGGAATGAGGCTCAAATGCCACTTCATTATCGCCCCCTCTGTCCCAATGCCCCCAGCCCCACTTCTTACTTGATTTATTTATTCAATCAACAAACTTTTAGTGCCAAGGATAGGAGGGAGTGGTTAAGAAAAAGACCCAAAGTCCCAGTTCTCGTGGAGACTGCCGTCCTCTCTAATAGAACACCACCTCCTCCAGGAAGCCCTCCCGGATCATCCAGCTGTTCTGGGAGCTCCATCCACTGGTTTGTCTATTCCTCACTGAGAGCTCAGACCACAGCCCCTTCAGTCTTACGATGGCCTTGTGTGACCTGGCTCTGCCTCCCCAGGACAAGTGCACGATGGGTCCCAGAAGTGGCAGCCACTACCACCATCAGCACCAGTCCAGCCCCATCACCTCCATCCTCATCATCAAGGAGGGATGTGATTCCTCAGATCCCAACAGCCAAAACTCACAGGTGGGCCACTGGCTGACAACCTCCACCTTCCCCAGAGACCTCCCTTAGCATCCAAGTCCTGCAGGGACACGCACCCCTTCCCTGGGGAGCCCTGCCTGTCAGTGTGTCCCAAAATGCTGTGACTTCACTTTCCACATGGAGGGACTTCCATCTGGGCCGGTCCAGTAAGGGCGCCTCTGGCAATGCTGAGGTGGTGGGGGCTCCAGTGTCCCCCAGATGCATGGGCAGGCAGGTCCTCAGACCCTCCTGTCGCCCATGCATCACCCCCCGGAGGGCCAAGGCAGGCCCCTCCCAGGGGCCCAGAGCCAGGTGAAGGGTCAGCCTCTGCAGGGACCTGGGCTCCACGAGCAGCTGGGAGGAGAGTCCTGGGCGGGGACAGAAGCACTTGGCTGGCAGCACAGTTGGTTCCTGTGTCCTCGCCAGGGCTTGCAAGCAAAGCCCCAGGTGGGGTGTGAGGGCCTGGACTCGGGCCCAGTGGACCCAGCGCTGCTTCCAGACCTCCAGCTTCCTGTGGGCAAGGGGACATCCGCAGGGAAGCAGCCTGAGACTGCCTGGCCTCCTCCAGGCACAGGGGTCGAGCGGTGGCCTTGACTCAGGGCCACTCCAGAGCCTTGGGTGACAGCACCTGTTGGGGAGGACCAGTGAAGCCAGCTCCTCTGAGAACAGCCTGCCGTGAGGGGAGGCAGCACCTGGCCTTGACCCAACCAGGCTGATGAGGTCCCTGCAGGAAAACAGACCTGTAAGGAGTCAGATGGGGCCTCCGAGCCCCTTCCCTTGCCCACCCACATCTGTTCAGTGAGGTCCTGTTTCCTTGGGAGGCAGGGACCGTCACTCCACGTGACACAGCCCAGGGCATTTGTGTTCCTTCCTGGTGCACTCTTTTGTCACAGGGCCATCTGCGGAACAGGGACAGCCAGTCCTTCAGGAAGAGCGGACGACAGCCAAGACTGCCTTCCACAATCAGATGTGGTCTTAATGGAGCCAATCTGTCTGCTTGGAGATCCCAGGGACAGTGCTCGCACCATGTCCTCTGCACACAGCCGTCAGGACGCGCTTTGACAACCAGCAGCACATATGCTGCTCTGCTGAAGGCACCAGGACTGTCGGCACATCAGTGCGGCCGAGCTGCTCCCCAACACACGAACTCCCCTCCTCAGGACCTTTGCACGTGCTGTGCCCTCTGTGGAGGGCTGTCATCCTCACCATTCGGGGTGAACTCACCTCTGCAGGGTGCTGCCCTGTACCCGCCCCCGCCCCATCATGCCTCAGTCTGTGCCCATCCCAGCACACACCAGCACCACCACCACCACCGGTCCTGTGCCTGCCTGTCTCTCCTTGGAGTTGGGACCTCGTGCGTCTCGCTTGCAGTTGTGTCCTCAGCACCTGGACTGGCACACAGCAGTGAGCGAGTCTGCAGGAACGGAGGCCCTCCAAAGGTTGTTGGGCACTTGTGCTCTTAGGTCTTTGCAGCCCTAATGCCTTGGGCTCAGAGAACCAGCAGTCCTGTCCCAGCCTTGGGGAGGGCACAAAGGGAGCAGGTGTAAGGGTCCCAGCTGAGGGCTGAGCCAGCATGTGCCCAGCCTGGCGAGAAGGGCATGGCTCTCAGCCAGCCTGCCCCGCCCACTGGGGTCCTTTGCCAGGCACCTGTGCCCAGGATCAGCTGCAAACTCTCCCCTCTCTTTGTTCAAACAAACACTGCTGCCCTGGGGCTTCTGCTCCCCTTGGCCAAGCAAGGACAGTTCCAGGGACTGGGGATCTGACCAGGAGGCCAGTGGCTGGAGCTGGGCAGCCCCTGTCCCTGCACCAGCCCTGGGGTGATGGGATAAACTGCCTGGCCTGGGATTCTGAGAAGGCACCTGATCTGTTTTCAGGAAGTGACCACTCACCCCGTGACCTTTCCTGCCCTGAGCCCTCTGCCCAGGCAGAACCAGCCTAGACCAGTTTGTGTGGCTCTGGGAGGCCAAGGGCGTGGAAAGCAACAAGTCATTCTTGGACACACCTATGACCCTCTCACCTGGTCCCTCTGGCCGTGAGGAAGGCCTCAGATAGGCACTGGGTCCTCCTCCTTTACCCTCCAGTGCTCCCTCATGGAGGCGGCTACCTGTCAACAGCCGTGCCACCCTGGGAGCCACCCCCGCCTGCTGGACCAGAGTCAGACTCTAACGAGACATTGGAGAACTGGCCAGAGAAGACAAATCTTCGCCCAGGGACTGGAGCCCCGATGGTGGGGTTTCAGGCACTGTGCCCTGTGGGCTGGGGGAAGCTTTCCTGGACCCAAAGTTACCCGTTCTAGCCAATAGTGACTCCCCTCTGCCACCCCAGGCTCTGGCCAAGGCCGGCCAGGCTGTGGGCCAGCCATTCAAGCTCCAGCCCCAACACACACGCGCTCTGAGCAGAGCCCGTTGCTGCACTTGGGGCTTTCCCACCCAATGGCACCCCCCTCACCCCCCCGCCAGGGGCGGCCCCGTAGGAGGCCATGCATATGGGAGAGCTCTGAACCTGGAAGGCTGGGCAGAGCTGGACAAGCGGCTCCTTGCTTCCTTGACTCACTGTCGGTCTCCTCGGAGAACTAGCAGCAAGTGAACAGGCACCAGGCCATGGTCACAGCACCGGACCGATGGGGCTGCGTCCTCCGGAACCAGCCACGAGGGGGTGCGAATGTCCTGCCTCAGTGTGCTGCCCACAATCCCAGGAACGCCCAGCCTGGTGGACAGTCGTGGACATTTGCCTCTGATGGAGCAGTGTCTGAAGAAGACCTGGACCTTTCAACCACGCCAGTCAATAAACTTTCTTTTTATTACTAAGTCAATCTGGATAGTGTTTCTGTTACTTGAAATTAGAGCCCTAACAGAAAACACTGCTTTCTCAGCCCCAGGGAGAGATGAGGACTGACAGAGGGCCGGACACCTGGACACCTGGGAAGAGGTGAGACGGGGTCAGAGGCCTTAGCAGGCTGTCCTGGACCATGGGGCACGCAGGCTGCCGTCCCCAGGCCTGGTGGGCACCCACAGCATGGCCAGGCTCTTGCCTGGCTCTGAGTGAGCCCCCATGCTGGGCCTGACAAGACCCAGCTGACCAGGCAGGTGGGCATCAGCACGGCAGGTGGGCAGCCTTGGTTTCATGGACCTCCCAGGACCCACAGTCTTCCGCGGTGGTGTGCGTGTCTGGGATCAGGTGCTGTGGCTCAAGGCCTCAGGGAAGAGGGGACCTCACTGCAGTCCTACGTCCTCTCTTGTCCCTAAAGGTGCCGGGCGTCATGTAACTCAAGGTGTCCCCTGGAGCTACCGCTCACAGGGTGCACAGATGGCATTTGTTCCCGAGTGGCCTAAGTGTCCTGGGTTTGCTAGATGGAAAGATAATTCCCTGAAGGGACGCAGAAGGATGCCAACGTCCAGAGAAAGGCACTGGGGTCGAGATTGCAAGAGGCACTCCCACTGCGCCCGCCACCCATGGGGTAGAGGCCTGGGGGTGCCGGGCAGCTTCCGGGACTCCGTCCTCTTAGGAGCCTGGTCAGCGGAGTCTGCAGAAGTGTGGGGCGGCTGTCCCTCACGTCTGCGCACCGGGGTCAGCTGTGGAAGGATGACCAGGAGACCCCGGAGGCGTAGAACTGCACGCGGCTGGGCCAGTCGCCATCCCCGCCGCCCTCCTTGTCCTCCTCTGAGTCGTCGTCGTCGTCGCCACTGGACGCTCCGCAGGGGACCCGGGACCCCGCGCCCTGCCCTCCCTCCGCCCCCTCCTCCTCGGGCTTCTGGGCGGCCAGCTCGCGGTAGCAGAGGCTGCAGACGCGCAGGGGCTTGGACGCCAGGCGCGGCAGCAGCACGCGCGCGCGGGAGCACTCGGCGCAGACCACGAAGCCGCACTTGCGGCAGTGGTGGCGCCGCGTGAGCGCCGAGAAGCGCGTCTGCGTGCAGCGCATGCAGATGTCCGTGGCCTTGTCAGGGATCCAGGGCGCCGCGTGCTCCGTGCTGGGCGGGCGGCCGGTGGCCAGCAGCTGCCGCCGCACGCACTCCTCGATGTGGCTGACCCACTCCTGGCGCTCCGTGTCGGAGGCCGCCGACACCACGAAGGACTTCCGGGCGGTCCTGATCATCCAGCGGTTCTTGGCCTGCAGGGTCTCGGGCAGCAGCTCCAGCGTCACCTCCTCCAGCGGGATGATGTGCTGGCTGCGGTACCTGCGCTTGCTGAGCACGATGCTGCCGTACACCAGGATGTCGTTGAACAGGAAGAAGACGCGGGGCTTGGCCTTCTTGCGGCACTCCTTGGTCAGCACGCCCTCGCCCAGCAGCACGCGGCCGGGCAGGGCCAGCGGCTGCCCCGACGCCCCGAAACAGCTCTCCACCGCGGCGATGCGCTGGCTGTTGATCTCCGTGTTGGCCAGATAGTCCACCATCTTCGCCGTCGCGGCTCGCTGTGGGAGGGGCGCAGACAGGCATCAGGGGCCCGGCACAGCCACTCCCCATCACCAAGCCGGGGAGCCCGGCCGGGCCCCAGAAGCCGACCTTCGGATGAGGAGTTACCGGGAGATGAAGGGGGGGGGTCCCCAGGAAGGGGTGTGTGTGGATCCGGCCGGGGATGGGAAGGCAGCAGTAAAGATGTGTGGCATTGCAGGCTGCCACCATGGGGGGCGGGGCCAACCCCCCTGGGGAGCCTAGGAACACAGGGTGGAGCACCCTCAAAGCTGTCCACCCAACGGGCAAGGACAGGGAGCCCCCACTGGCGTCAGGCGGTCCCCAGCTCGTTGAGTCTGCCCCAGGCGCATGCGCTGGACAGCGAGTGCCGGGAAACGGGGTGCCTGCAAGCCCATCCATCACTGAGCGCCCCATCCACCAAGCCAAACCATCAAGACCCTGCACCCACTCATTCAGGTGTGAGCCCAGCCACCACCTCCGCCATCATTACAGGGACTGTGTGCTGCGTGCTTCGTGCATGTCAAGCATGCTACCCTATGTAGTCCTTACCACGACCCTCACAGGTAGAACCCCCTCAGGGCAGGAGGCAACCTCAGGCTCTGCTAGCAAATAGGAAGCCCACAGCTCGCACCCCTGGAGACCGTGCTGCTACACTGCCTTACCCTGTGCACGGTGAGGCCCTCACGGCCCTCCTGTGCCAAGCCGTAAATGTGGGTGCTGGCCACAGAGCTTACCCCAGCCCTCTCCTGGGCCCCCACACCCTCCTCAAACCCAGCTGTGAAGACCACCCAGCTCCTGCCGGCTCCCTAGGCCAAGCTGCGAGTCCTGGCTTCTCCGCTGAGCTGTAGGCGTGGACATTCACCTGGCCCACGCTCTCCCACCTGCGGGCCTCAGAAAGTCCTCCAACACAGCACACCTGGCACAAACCCAGCTTCGCGTCCAGCTCTTGTTTTCCATACACGGAACCACCGCTCACCCGGTTGCTCAAGCGCCAAATCTAGGACTCATCCTTCAGTCTCCTCTTTCCTGTGGCCCCAACATTCAACCCAGGAGCAACACCATCGTTTTTCTCGCTCACACCTGGCCCACGTCTCTCCGCGCCTCACCACGTGACTCCACGTGGACTCGACAGCAAGGCGAAACCATGTGTTGCCTGAAGTGGGCTGTCCGTGCGGTTCCTCCTGCGGCCCGGCGCAGTTCTCATTTCCCTTTCAGAAAGGGTCTGAGAAGCCCCGCTTAGGCAGCCTCTCCCCCGACCCAGGACAGGGTCAGCTTAGCACACCCGGCCCGCAGCCTGCTTTTGTAAATAAAGCTTTATTGGAACATAGCCACGCTCATTCATTTACAATAGCCTGTGACTTCCTTCATGCTGCAATGGCAGACCGAGTAGTGTGGCACAGACCACGTGGCCACAAAGCCTAAGGTATTTTCTATCGGGCCCTTTCCGGGAAACGTTTGCTGCCCCTTCTCTAGCACGTCGGCCTATTTTGTTTTCCCCACAGGACTTATCAGGACCTGGTGTTTCCTTGTCTGTGCAGCGTTTGTTCACGTGTTTTCAGTCCCTTACTCAGATCTCAGCTCCCAGAGAGCAAGACCTTTTCTTGTTCACTGCTGTATCCCCAGTGTTTGGAACACTGCTGAGCACCCAGTAGGTGCTTCGTATGTGGCTAGCGATGAGCTCTCCACAGCTCCTGAGGCCCCACCATGCATGACCCAGCGCCTACCTCTGCTGTCAGAGGAAGCAGGTGAGAGCTGACCCCACTGCCACCACCATCACGTGCCCACGTGCACACATGCACAGGCACACACGGCACGCCCCGGCCGAGCTGGTCACACACTCGGTATTTCTGGGTCACCACACTGCAGTTCTGTCAGTCAGGCCACCTGTGGGAGCCGGAGGGGACCCAGCGTGGGGGCTGGATGCACAAAAGGGGAGCATGGCCCCGAGTCCTATACCACTTGCCTCTCTCAGACCACAAGGCCTCCTGAGAAGCGTTGCCCAAACCACCTTATGCAAGAACGGCTGCTTTCAGGTTGCTGATCTCAGCTGCATGCTGTAAACCTACCTGATTATCGGTCACAGCCCTGGGCCGCCTGCTAGGACTGATCACTGGGCCTCTGCCATGGACAGTCTGGCAGCATTCCAGAGGCCACCCCAGGACCCTTGGGCTGAGAGCTGGGGCCCTGGGATGGGCCGCATGAGGGTTCCCCGGCAGGAGAAACACCAAGGGCCGTGGGCTCCGTACCTGCGTGGAGACCATGAGATGCAGAGCAGCAGAGGAGACGGTGAGACAGCCGGGGCCAATCACACAGTGGAGCAGCGTCTGCTCCTACAATTCCGTCCAACCCATGTGGGGCAACATGGGGTAACAACAGATACCAAATGCTGACAGGAGAAGGCGACCTGCTGCACGGAATGTGGACACCACATGTGGGAATGCCCCAGTATTTAAAAGCGTTTGAGAGCTCTATCTACGAATAGAAATGGAAAGGGTGGGTACTATTAAAGGATTAATTAATATTAAAGGGCGGGTACATCCCACGAGGATGGCTACTATTAAAAAGCAGGAAATCACAAGTGTTGGCGGGATGTGGGGACGTTGGAACCCTCGTACACTGTTGGTGGGAATGTAACTTGGGGCAGCCGCTATGGAAAACAGTGTGGAGGTTCCTCAAAACATTAAAATAGAAACACTGTAGGATCCAGCAATCCCACTTCCAAAGAACTGAAAACAGGGCCTCAAGGAGGTATCTGCACCCCCACGTTCACAGCAGCATTATTCACAATGCCAAGAGGTGGAAGCAACCCACGTGCCCATCAGGGCCTCCACGGATCCACAAAATGTGCTAAATACACACAACGGGACTTACTCAGCCTTAAAAAGGAAGGGACTCCTGACACCGGCCACAGCATCGGGGACCCTGAGATCGCGATGCTGAGTGAAACGAGCCATCACAAAAAGACAAACACTGTATGACCCCATTTCCACGAGGCGCTGGAGTGGACAGATTCCTAGAAGCGACAGAGCGGTGGTTGCCAGGGCTGAGGCGGGGAGAGGCGAAGGGAGAGCTGTTATCTAACAGGTAAGGACTCTCCGTTTTGTAAGAAGGAAAAGATCTGTTTCACAAGAATGGGAATAAGCCTAACACTACTGAACCGTACACTTAGAAATGGTTAAGACGGGTAAAAAAAAAGATGGACACAAACCACAGTCAGGAGAAAGTGGCCTGGATGTGACCAGGAATAGGGGGATCAAGCAGAACTTTGTCTACAGTATTTTATTTTAATAATGCAGAGCAAACGTGATAAAATTCTCCCACCAGTTGATTCTGAGACGTGGGAACGTAGCTTCTTGTTTTTCCTCTCTCTGTACAGGTAAGTCCCCCGCAAGAAAGAATCACAGGACAGTGTCTGGGTCAAGAGCTGGGAGCTTCCTGGCTGGGAACCCACTCTAGGACCACCGGAGGGCCCTGCGGACAGCACAGCCTAGGGGCCTGGGCCACACCACACACCAGGAGCCCTGAGGGGGGCCCGCCACTGGTCCACTCCAGCACTCCCGTGTCAGGTGCCTGGAAACCCCATGCTATGGCCACTGACAGAGGCCTAACAGACTCTGTAGCTGAGGCGGATGGACTCTATGCCGAGAACAGCAAGAGTAGGCGGCCCCCACCAGCCCTGTGGGGCTCAGTGAGTTCTGGGGGCCGGTTTGCCAGGTCCCCCTGTGACTAGATGATCCAGGTGAGTATGGACATGGACGGAGTGAGGAGCAGCACCCCAGGGAAGAGTTGCCGGCGGGGCCCCCAACACTATCCCCATTCCTTCCAGGGGGCACCAGGACCCCACACAGGACCCCCACATGGCTCTGTTCTGAGTTGGTGATTTACTGACCCCCTCCAGGCCTTGGTGGCCCTCATCCAGCTGCTTGTGGCAAAACGTGGCCCAGGAGTGGTGGGTGGGGAGTACCTGGCGTGATGAAAGGGGTCTGAGTTCTGAGCTGACCCCACACACTGACTGGGGTACCCAGAAGGCTCTATGCCCCTCTCCTCCGTGAGTCTGCAGTGGGTCCCAGCGCTGGGCAGACAACATCCTCCCCACAGCCATAACTTCACACCCTGGTTTAACACAGCCTGGAGGTGTTGCTTGGTAAATGTGCTCCCTGCAGCCCACAGCAGATGAAGAGTCCTCTTTTTCACTGTTCTCACCAGAGAACTGAACCTGCCTCCCTTAGCACGGGGAGGCCAGGGCGGAGCCGTCCCCACTCCTCCCGGCACCAGCCCGGGACCCCGGTGTGGCTCCCAGCGCACGGACAGGGTGGACACTCACGGAGGGTCAGCATCTGGCAGCAGGGAAGTGAACAGACCTGCTGCTTCTTGGAGGCAGGCTCTGGGGCTGGCCCCCCTGAACACACGTGATGCCACTGCGGGAGCTGGACTGAAGGGCTCTGGATGAATGCTGGGGCCTGGGAGCCACGCCTTGCGTGTCACTGGGGGGCTAGGTTCTGTGCATGACAGTGGTCACACGTGATCTGAACCAAGTCTGACCCACGGCTGGCTTTCCTGAACTCAGCTTCCTGGAACACAGCCACATGAGACAGAGGCTGCTCTGCAAAGTCTCAGATACTCACCATCTGGCCCTTTATAGGAAAGTGTGCCGAGCCTTGTCTACACCACCGGGCGCTGTCACATGCCTGGTGCCGACTCCAGGAACACACCTGACACAGGGCTGTGTCCTGGGGGAACCCCTCTCCCCTCCTCCACTCAGACACAGCCTTTGGGGTTCCAGAGAGATGTCTGGGCCCCACTGGGCCTGGAAAGTGGGAGCTGGCAGGAGCCCGAAGTCCACTGTCCGTTAGTTACAGTTGGGGACACTGCTTATCAGAGAGGGAGGTGCCCGGCCAAGGTCACACAGAGGGAGTCAGGACTATTCCTGGTTGGGGTGGGGCTGATTTACCACCTGCCCTTCCGTCTGTCTCTCTGGCCCCCACCTCGCCCACCCTGCTTCCACGGCTCCCTGAGTTTACCTTCTAAGTACCCGCTGGCGTCCCACCATGCATCAGGCACAGTCCTAGTGGGCGAGCCACTAGTGACAGCAAAGGGCCAGGGACCAGGCACAGAGTGACGGCAAGGAGCCGGGGACCGGGTTCCACAGTAACAGGCTTCCTGGGGGGAGGGGCTTACTCGAAAGGAAAGCAAGGTCATTTCTGACTGTGACAGCTGAAAGCCATGAAGCAAAAGGCTGGCGCGCAGGGTAGGGCAGGGCTGGGAGTGTGGTCAGGCAAGACCTGGTGAGAAAGCGGCCTGGCACCATCCTGCACGCTGTGAAGGAGCCAGCCATGCCAAGGCCAGACGGAAGAATGACTGGGCCTAGGGAGCAGCTCAGAGGCCTGACAGAGGAGCCTGCAGGGGAGGAGGGGTACGCGGTGAGGGCAAAGGGGCCGACAGGGCCCCTCAGCGAGACGAGGACTGAGTGTCTCTCCAGTGCTCTGACCTCCCGTCAGCCTGTCCTGCCTGTGCTTCCTGGAAGCCCTCCTCCATGGAAAGCACGGGAACGAGGAAAACACGCCCGAAGTGCCACCAACAAAGCTTACGGCTCACCAGGCACAGCACACGAATCAGGCACTTAATCCTCACAATTTAGGGTGGGCTGGGTGCGGCGGGTCCCTTAGCTCACAGGGCTGCCTCACCTCCACATCTTGGCAGCCCCGAGGACTGACGTGTGAGGTGACACAGGCTGAAGTCAGCCGTCTCTTGGCCTGCACAGACCCCACTGGAAACTGTGCTCAGGAACACCCCAATTCTAACTGGAAATGATGTGCCAAGCATGACCCCCGCGACGCGCCTCCCCTCCTCCCTGGCTTCTGACCCTTTCCTGCCGGGAGACAACAGCTTTGTTCAACTTCCAAATCTGTTTATTTCCCTTGGGATGTGGAGATCCAGTTTTAGTGCCTGAGGGTCTCCTCTTCCCACCTGCAGAGGGGGCTGACGACCACCGTCCCCTGCAGAGCACTCCTGGTGTTCAGGGAGAACGGTGAGGAGGTTCCAGCGGCTCCAGGCTGGGAAGGAACTGCCACTCTGGGCTGCCTCAGTTACTTCTTCTGTGAAATGGGCGCCCAGCCCTGTTTCCTGGGACAAGTCCCACCCAGAGTCACCAACTCAACCACTTCCCGGGCCGAACTCAACCACTTCCCGGGCCGGCGGTTCCTGAAAGAGAGGCCAGCGAGGACTGAGGCCGCCCTCCTGCCCTACCCCTCCCTTGAGGCGGTTGTCCAGCCGCTTCTCCAGACCTCGCCGGCTGGGACCGAGAGGCCCGGGCAGTGCTGTGAGGCCAGGACTCTCCAACCCATCCCCGGAGAACGGGTGCGCTGAGATGCCTGCAGCCCACGGGCGCCTCCGGACGCTCCTCTGCTCGCACCTCGCGCGCCCCCGGGATGCCCTGCCTGGGCCCCGGAGCCCCCTCCTTACCTGTTCTCGCCCCGCTCTCCCCGGTGCCCCTGCAGGCCACCTCCAGCGGGCAGGAGGCCCGCCTGCTCCGCGCGCCCCAGCCCGGCGGGAACGCCTGCGGCTTCCGACGGGGGCCCCGCGCGCCCCGCACCCGCCCGGTAGCCAGTCCGCGCGCTCGCGGTCGCAGGGCGTCCGGGGTCCAGCGGCGGCCGAGCCCCGCACCGCCCACGCCGCGCTCAACTCGACTCGGACACGCCCCTCGAGGCGGCTCCGCCAATCCGGGCCCGGCGCGCGGGCGGGGGCGGGGCCTGGGCGGCTAGCGGGCTCGGCCTGAGTCCGGCAGGAATGTGCGTGGGGGGAGCGGCCGGAGCTCGCGTGGGTCCGCGGCGCGGCCCTGCGGGCCTGTGGTGGGCGGGCGTCCTTCCAGCTGGTCCCCGGGGCTGGTCCCCCGCCGGTTTCCCGTCTCGCCCGCAGCGCTCCGCACGCAGGCTGCTCTCGTCCCGCCGGAGGCGGTGCTGGACCCCCAGCCGGGCAGCGGGCGCTGGGCCTGGAGGGGGAGGGAGGGGAGCTGTGGGGGCCCTGGCCTCGCGGCCTCTGGCGGGCCTCCCTGCTGCCAGCAGCCATCGCCGTCTCTTCTCCGCAACCGAGAGATTGATAGGCATGATATTAAAAGTCAGCAGCATTTTATCTATTTTATATTTTTAACTTTTTGTAGTGGAAACTTTCAAACATACACTGAAGGAAGGAGAGACCAGTTTAACTGTCCACGTGTGCCCATCACCCGGCTTGTGCCTAACTCGCAGGTGATGTCCCCGCCCCGCCTACCCGGCCTCCCATGACCCTGGAATAAAAGGAACTCCAGCCTCACCCCTCCACGAGGTCTGTCTCCCCCTCCCCCGTGCCTCTCCCGACACTTCATCCCACACTGCCTCCTTCCTGTTCTTCAAACCCCCAAGGCCGTTCCCGTCTCTGTGACTTTGCACTTCTCTTGTGTCCCGATCTTCCCATGTCTGCATTTTTGGCATTTGGGTCTCAGCTCAAACTGTCACCTTCTCCGAGGCTTCCCTGAGCACCCAAAGCAGTTCCCTGACTCATCCATCACCCTCAGCCACCTCACCCTGTTTTATTATTTTATAAAGCATTTCTCCCAACCCAAAGTCAGCTTATTACTCACTTGTTTACGTGCTCAGGGCTTGTGCCCCCACCTAGGCTGTGAGCTCATGGGCTGGACTGGATGCATCTCGTTCACGCCTTTATCTCAAGTGCCGAGAACTGAGTCCAGCAGTAAATGTGTGCTGCACAGGTGCACCTGGTCGTGCCAAGTGGGGCAGACCCTGGGCACATCGCAGAGGGGCTGGCTCAGGCCAGATCAGAGCCTGCTGGTCCAGGAGCGAGGCAATAGACAGCAGCAGGAATCGGTGCTGTCCCCTTTGGACGGGGCATGTGGTCTCCCATTCGCTGCAGTGTCCCCTGCTCTCTGCGTTACCCAATTGAGACATCCTGCAGGTGAAGAAGCACGTGAATTAATAAGTCCTGAGGGTGGTATAGCCAGGCCACTACACCATACAGAGGAAGTAACAAGGTCCCACAATCCCAGAGGCTGAGTTATAACCAGGGAGGCCAGCCGGGACATTGAGACTCTGGGAAATGCCTCTCCAAGTGTCCACACCGCTTGTTCCTTGGGGGTAGGGGTAAGGGTGTGTGCAGAGGACTCTGAGCCGAGCCTTCAAGGCCCCATTCCATGTCTGCCTCATTGCCAGATCCCCCACTTCCCTTGCAAGAGGGGGCTTCTCAGGGGAGGTAGGCTCCGCCTCTGGTGAGGCGGCCATGGAAGGGAGCTGGACAGTCCTGGGAAGGAGGGCTGCCTGGTTCACAGCAGCATCCTGGCATCCAATGCTGTGCCTGGCACAAAGCAGGTGTCTAGGAAAGGGAGACCTTTTCATGATTCTGCAGAACCAGAGAGAGGATGTACATGTGTTAATCCAGGGTTCAGGAGACCCCAACTAGAATTGTCTCACTGCTGGTCCAGGGCCCACTAGGGCCTCAGTCTCCTCATCTCTCCTTCCTTCCAGCTCTGACATTCTGGGTGGAGCTTCAGGAACCCCCTGGAGGCAGCACAAGCTCTGATCATCCAGCGGTCCATCCCTTCCCCATAGGAACCAGCTGTGGTCTGAGAAGACCTGGGCAGAGGGCCATCCTCCTCCGAGTAAGAGGAAAAACTTGTGACTCAGGGAAAGGCAGAAGTTGAGTCAGCCAAGCCACAAGCTATGGAAAAAATGAGGTCCCCCCGAGGCGTTTTCTTCTCCTCGGGTAAGAAGCCCTTTCTGAGGAAAAGCTGGCTCCCAGCCTGTGGGAATCGGAGTTCAGGACAGCTCCAAGCCTCGAGATTTTCAAGTTAGGGGTTCCAGCGACCAGTGCTGGAAGAAGCCAGGAGTTTTTGTTAGATGGTTTATTAAGTTCTGTCTAAGTGCCAAGCAGTGTGTGCTAAACACTTGGTATTATCTTATCCCTCCCAGGCAGACACCGCAGCATTGAGGGGTCAAGTCCCAGGACCAAATGTTCCAGCAAGACAGAGAAAACAAAGTCTGCACATGGTTTTCATGTCTGCCTGTGTCCCATCATGGGTTTCCCCACGGGGCTCTGACCAGGCCAAAGGGGAAAACGAGAAAAGTGGGAACAGAAAGAATGGCCTTTGAACAATGCTCCAGATGGGTGAGCTAAGTGTTGCATGTAAATATAACCCTCACAGTAGTTCGACACACCTCGTCTCTCAAACAGGGCAGAGCCCGGAGGACCCTGTCAGCCGCCATGCGCTCCTATGTTGCTGGGGGTGTAGCTATGGGTACCTCTCTGTTGGAAAACCATTTGGCAGTGTCTGCCAGAGCTCAGCAAATGCTATCCTGTGCCCCAGGAGTTCTACTCCTAGGTACACATCCAAGAGAAACAAGGGCACATGTCCACCAAAAAATGTGCACCAATGGTATACAAACATGATTCATGATAGCTCCGAAATGAACACACCCTGAATGTCCATCAACCGTATAGCATGGGTAATAAAAGTGACAGATTCACATGACTGAATACTCCCTGGCGATCAGAAGAGTGCTGCTGCACAAAAGAACGTGGGTCTCGTGGGGATGAAACACGCGCCTAATGCTGAGTCAAAGGAGCAGACACAGAAGGGTACGTACTGTATTATTTTCGTTCACAAAAAACAAAACTAAGCTACAGTGACAGAAACCAGAACATGGTCACCTGGGGAGGGGCTGGTATCGCCGGGAAGGGCAGGCGGGGGCCCATTAAGGTGCCGCAAATGTGTTATATTATCTTATTTATCTTGATTTGGTGATGATTCTGTGGCTGTGCTTCTGTCAACACTTTATGAAACCGTACATTGAGGACCTGTGCACCGTATGGTATGTACGGTATTGTACCTCAATAAACTACAATGAAAGTAACGGGAAAAAATCTGAGCTTGAATGTTTCAGGGGGCTCCACGCAGCCCCCATCATCTGGCACCGTCTGGGAGTTGGCGTTCGGTGG